TTCACTCATTCTACTATGAATTGAACTTCTCACTTGCGTCTTGTTGATATATTAATTCATTTGTGACTATTAGTAATTCGTAATATCATTTTAAATATTGAGTTTAATTGAATTAACTGGTGACATGAAAAGCTACTGAGTTATATATTTGTTTCTTATTGACAAACCGAATCGATTTTCACACATTCTTTACAATTTTAGTAGTTAGATACGTCTATTTTCAAATTAAAAAAGAGCTGATTAAGTTATCCTTTTCAGTTATCTATTTGGAAATAGCAAGAGGCTTGATGGACTGTGTCAGTCCTGGCAATGATGGTCTCTCAGTCGATCCGACTTTCTTCTGAAAGAGTCGACGGCTGGTGCCCCAACCACATGCTGAAGTAATGAATTCCACTCGTTGATGATTCGAAGGGAAATTCGATAGTCAGCTGACAAGTAATTTTTCTGGGCTTGTGAACTTTTTTGGAGTGTCCTCGTTAATTCTCTGTTTTGGATGACAAGAAAAATGAAGGCACATTAGGTACAGATTTATCACTTAGCAATTTGAAAACTGTAATCAAGCCGCCTTTAGTTCTGTAATATGAAAACGGGGATAGATTTAGCTTAGCCAGTCAAGCATCATACGGAAGCTTCGCTATTCCGGGAATCAGCTTAGTTGCTGTTCTCTGAATCTTTTCCAAAAGCTCGAATAAAGCGTGGAATTTATCGTCACGCTAGTAAAAAGTACCGAGGATTCGGTACACGTCGGGCCCACCAGTTGTAGCGTGGCGTCGAGTCGAAATCAACTATGAACACCGCTACCAAGAAACACGTGCCAAGTAAATCAGAAGGCGAAGGTCGAACGTAACCAGATTTATTTCGTTGGCATAGGAATAATCCTACACCGTATCGGTTGTTGACTGTGCAGCTAGTCGCGGAAGCGTACGGCCAACCGTACTTGGCGACCGGAACGTGAGACGGCAGTCTCGTTCGTATCGCGTGAGCCTACAATCTCATCTGAAGTCAAAGGCGGCGTGGTCTGCTGATCTGGACGTGAGACTGAAGTCTCGTCCGTGGATGGTGCAGATGACGCAACAATAAATATAGGTACATGAAATGTTTGGACAATGTTGGAAACTGGGAGAACCAGTCAAATAGCAGCGGAAGTGAAGAGATACAGCTTGGCAGTGTTCAAAATCAGCAAAACCCACTGGAACCAAGCTGAACAGCAAAGATTAGGTACAGGAGAGACGCTACTGTACTCCGGTAACGAAGAGGAAAATGTTCCACACATTTAGGGAGTTGCTCTAATGCTATCTGAAGAAACATGAAATGCACTCATACGATGGGCGTCTCACGGATCTAGAATCATCAAAATATCATTCAAAACAAAGGAGGGGATCACAACGAATGTTATCCAATTTTATACACCCACCAATGATAGCAACGACGACAACAAGGACTGCAATCAATTGTGGCGAAGTGCCCAACAAAGGATTTCATCATCTTGATAGGAAACCAAAACTACGGAATAGGAATGGCCAACACCCAATATGGAGATATCACATGGGACGACATTAACTGAGATAGAAAAACAAAAATGGGGATAGATTCTCAGATTGGTTATAGGTGACACAATATTCCCACGCAAATGTATGCACAGAGTTACATGGATCTCGCCGAACCACACCACAAAGAACCGGATAGACCATACTGGTATCAATAAAAATTCAGGAAGACAATGGTAGACGTGAAAGCCGGGAGAGGAGCTGACTTAGCTTTAAATTACCATCTAGTGATTGTTAAGATAAAACTGGAACTAAAGAAAGGCTGGACAACTGGAGGAATATTATGACAAAAGTCCAATACAACCTTTCTTCGGGATACTAACAAACTCGGCGGATTCAGTAGAACTATCAACAACAGGTTCTAAGCCTTACAGGATCTACTGAAACAGGAAGAAACTACTATGGAGGACAACTGGAAAGTGATCAAAGAAGCATTAACTTGAACGTGCCAGGGGGTGCTGGGTCGCAAGAAGCATCATCATAAGGAATGGATCTCTATGGAAACCCCGGGCAAGCTTGAAGAAAGGAAGAACAAGGAGACAACAATTAACAACAGATGAACACGAACAGGGAAAGACCAAACACAAGCTCAATACATAGAAGTAAACAAGCAAGTGAAGAAAAGCATTAGAGACGACAAAAAGAAATACGTGGAAGAACTAGCAGCGACGGCGGAAAAAGTTGCAAGGAAGGAAATATGAAGCAGCTTTACGATACAGCGAAGAAACTAGCAGGAAAATACAGTAAACCAGGGAGATTGGTCAAGGATAAAGAAGGCAGGCCAATCACTGAAGTTCAACAACAGCGGAACAGATGGGTAGAATACTTCGAGGAACTCCTGAATAGGCCGGCTCCAATGAATCCACCGGACATCGAAGCAGCGCACACAGATCTTCATATAGATGTCAATCCACCGACGACGGAAGAAATCAGGATGATTATCAGACAGATCAACAGTGGAAAGCAGCATAACCTGACAATATACCAGCCAAGGCACTAAAGTCAGACATAGAAGTAACTGAAAATACTCTCCACCTTCTATTCATGGAGATTTGAGAGGATAAACAGGTGCCAACTGACTGAAATAAAGGATACATCACCAAGATAGCGAAGAAAGGAGATCATGTTTTTTACTACAAAAAGGCCATAGCTGAATCCCGTACTATTTATGGACAACAGTTGGCATATGATGACCGTACAAATCCGAAACGATTATTAAATGGCGAACACAGCGTAGTGGTGGTAATCTCCCGTTACTGTTAAACGAAAATTCAGATTTACTAGCTGAATCAGATAAGGCAAAAGCTGAGACATTTTCAAGCGATTTTAGCGAAGTCTACTCTACTTGTATTGTTACAAACATTTGTCCCAATCACACCAAGATACCAGCCATTGGATCAGTACATGTGACTGGGGAAAGAGTTCTTCCATTGATAACTAACCTCAATTCTTGTAAGATACTGGGCCCTGATTAGCTTCATTCACGACTGCTGTCATCTCTTGCGGAAATCATTTCAAGATCGATCGCGACGCTCTTCAACATGTCCCTTTCACTCTCCCAACTCCCTAGAGATTGGAAAAACGCTATAGTCAGTCCTACTTTTAAGGATGGTCAGAGACAGATCGTATCTAACTACCGACCTGTCACTCTAACCAGCAAGTCGTTAAGTTTCTTGAAAAAACAAATCGGGTTAAGTTACTAAGTCACATAGGTTCACACAATCTGTTAACTCCCCAGCAACATGGATTTTGTAACAAGCGTTCATGTTTGACTAACTTACTTTTGGTGAGAGAGGATTGGACAGCAGCTCTAGATAACTATCTATCTGTCGACGTGATATTCATAAATTTTAACAAAGCGTTTGACAACGTTTCACACTTAGGTCTTATGTAGAAGCTCTTGAGCTTCGGAATAGCAGGTGCTATGCAGGGATGGATGGGAAACGTCTTATATGACCGCAGACAGAGAGTGAGGGTCAGTCGAACGCTATATGAATGGAAGCCGGTCAAAAGTGATATACCCCAAGACACCATCTTAAGCCATCTACTTTTCCTTCTCTACGTTAATGAATTACCGCTATTGCTTGAGTCATCGACATTATTGTTTGCGGATGATGTCAAAATCAGGAGAACAATAAGAAGTGAGGCTGATCATTTTGACCTCTAAGTTGACTCAGACGAGCTCGTTAGATGGGCTCGAGTTTGGAGCTTAGAAGTTAATTCTAGGGAAAGTGTGCTCATGCAAATAGGACACGATATTAGTTATCATTATACTAGTGATGGTACATCTCTTCAACGCGTTCAAGAACATAAATAAATAGGAGTAATGATAAGTCATGACTTAAAAACAACTACGCATTGCAACGCAGCTGCTGGCAAAGGTTATCGTGTGTCTTGGTCACTTCGCCGAGTATTCAAATGCTTTGACGAGATGTTTTGAATTTTATATCCCACCCATGTAAGACACTCTTAGAGTTCTGTGTCCAAGCAGCTGTTCCATGTGTGATAAATGATACCAACTCACCTGAGCGTGTTCAGAGTGTGGGAACAAGATTAGTGGAGGGTCTTTCCAAACTCCCTTACGATGAATGTTTAAAACGCCTTAACCTTTTTCTCTTGTCGTATCGTAGGACACGAGGCGACCTTATAGTGGTATTTCGTATCTTTAATTATTATTTCAGTGTAAACATGTCCTAACTTTTTGCCCCCTCCAGCACTAACGATCTCCGAAGTCATAGCAAGAAGGCTCACAAAATTGCGATCTAATAAACTTAAAGTTGGGTCCCGTTTTTCTCACCAAGTAGTCAATGACTAGAGCACCTTAATCAAACGAGTGATATCAGCCCCACCAGTGAATATTTTCAGGGAGAAGCTGGACTTTCCTTGGAAGGCACTCCGTCAGGATTAACGCAGGTTCACCAACCTACTATCCTTATTACTGAAGACCGAAGTATGGTCGCTTATCGACAATGAAACAGCGTCTTAGAGGTGACCTTATAATGGCTTACAGCATCCCTTTAAACACCTACTTAAGTTTAGCTCCAACACAAACCTATGGGGTAACACTCAGAAACTGGGGAAACAATACAGCAGAACAGACTGTAGACACAACTTCTACTCCTTAGGAGTTGTCAAATGCTGGAATTCGCTGCTGGTTGAGCTAGTCCAAGGGACTTCCTAGGAGTCCTTTAAGATGAATCTTGACCTACATCTAAGTACTAGGTTTCTGTCTTGAGGTATTGGTGACCCACTGCTACTAGACACGGAAGCCCGGTAAGCGAAAACTTCTATTCCGTCCACACCTATTTGGACCATTTGTATGATGAACAAATTTGACCTTCAGAGATTTGATTGTCACTCATCCGAAGTGCTTTTTAACGCAGCAAAATATGACTTAAATATGAAAAAACTTGATACACATGCAATCCAACAAACCCACGGCAATTGAAATACGGAATGACGGCCTCTTGTCAGGCCGTCCAAGGTCGTCGAAACGTAAGGGCGCGCAGCTTCGAAAGGCTCTGACGTTTTTCCCGTGCCCAAAGTTCTATTTTACCTTCTCCTTTTGCGTGTTCGGGTACTTTGATATAGGGTTTTTAACATTACTAATTTTCCTCAAATAGTTTAACTATCCAGAACCAGTGCTCACTTGTTTGTGATAAATTACTTTGATTTGTCACATTAGTTTACAATTGGTCAGGTATTACATTGTCCAAAAGGAGCTAAACTGGGAAATAAAGGCGAATGCCCGTAAAACATTCGCTTTACTCCCTACAAAACTTAGTGTGAACTTACGCTGTATTGCACCACGATATTGCCATTTGCGTGTGCTGTATTGGGAATAGACGTTTGATCTGAATATCTTAGAGCGCGCTTTAAGATATATGTCGCGACATATATCAAAACTTAAAACTGTATCTTTACCCGAATCTACGCTAAATAGTCCACCTTCTGACTACTTAATGCCTTTAACATGAATCACTTACCTAAAGGAGGCAACATTGCACGCCTTTGGCCTTATGATGAAGAACGGTTTATGAAATTTGTTTACAGGAATTATAAACACAGTCCACATAAATATCATCAACACTGGAGTGTCAGTCGCACGTGTTGAGTAACAGGTATGTTTATCATCGATTGATATCTGGGAAAATTTAGCAGTTTATAAGGGTTTTTAAATAAGTTTGTTTCTTATTGTGAACCAGTTTCAGTTTAGAAATAACAAGAGGCTTGATGGTCTGTGTCAGTCCTGGCAATGATGGTCTCTCAGTCGATCCGACTTTCTTCTGAAAGAGTCGACGGCTGGTGCCCCAACCACATGCTGAAGTAATGAATTCCACTCGTTGATGATTCGAAGGGAAATTCGATAGTCAGCTGACAAGTAATTTTTTCTGGGCTTGTGAACTTTTTTGGAGTGTCCTCGTTAATTCTCTGTTTTGAATGACAAGAAAAATGAAGGCACATTAGGTACAGATTTATCACTTAGCAATTTGAAAACTGTAATCAAGCCGCCTTTAGTTCTGCAATATGAAAACGGGGATAGATTTAGCTTAGCCAGTCAAGCATCATACGGAAGCTTCGCTATTCCGGGAATCAGCTTAGTTGCTGTTCTCTGAATCTTTTCCAAAAGCTCGATGTCTTTTTTTAAGCAGAGGCTAGCCGCTTGTATGCAGTACTCAAGTTTAGGACTCACAAACACTGTATACAATTATTATTATTATTTGAACACATAAATATTGGTAGAAGAGGGCACCAATATATATGCGCCACACTTTTGTGTGAGGGCTGTCATACTTCCCGGGTGCCCAGACCGAAGCAGGTGGTTTTCTTAGGGGCCACACCCGGAGCCTTCGATCTGAAGGTCTGATCCACGAGGCAGTGGAGCATCGTAAGGAGATGCAGTCCTATGGTAGCTGGTGACCAAAAATTGGTACGTACGCCATTTGTTCCTTCGGGATGCTGGAGCCGATGTGCACCATTGGTTTGGAATCCGGTTAAAGCGCCGGACATTCGCTTTTCATCCTCTCATTTTCGCAAACAATACCCCCGCCACGAGAATGCAGTGAGTAGAACTTCCCTGGAAGAGGCTGTATACGCGTGGCCGTGTGAGAGCATTGCGAGAGGGAGGATGGGCCCACCCCACTCTCGGCCATGCCAGAGCATTTGGGGGCAAAACGTTTTAGCGTCGACATGATTAAAGGCCCTACGTATTAACCATAAAGTTCTAAACCCTTTGGCGGCCGTTGCACGGCAGTGTGCAGTGTTCTTTAAGTCTTGACTGACGATGACTCCTAAGTCATTGTGTCTGGACAACAGGTAGCTCAGTGTTATTCATCGTGTATGTATCTGTATCTTGATGGCCGATGTGCATCACAATACCCATGGAAGTATTATTCGGCAACTGCCAGGTTCGAGACCATTAAGATAATTTTTCCAGGTCATTTTGGAGTTGTAAGCTATCAATCTTACTTCGTATCGCTCTCCATATCTTGACATCGTCAGCGTATAGCAAGGCCGATGATTATAGTAGACGAGGGAAGTCATTTATATATAAGAGGAATAACACTGGGTACTGATTTGTACGAACTTCTAACACCTACTCCTCACTTGTTTAGTTACATCACGTACCGTCGCGAATGTCGAAGTGTGTGTATAGCATAATTTATTTTTAAAAGTTAATCATCACAGTATAAACGATTAGAGAGAGAGAGTGGGCTTACTCTCCCTACCCTCGACAGTACTAGAGCATGTGGGATTATTGAGTAGCTCTAAAAATTGATCTTGCAAAAGAAACCCGTCAGATATTTTAAAAGATCTCATTCATCCTTACAACTAGGACCGGGGCCGCCAACTTTAGTTTCGGAATAATAACTTTGCTGATTAGGCTACTCTAGATTTACAGTAGAGCAGCACGCACCGTGTAGGTTGTCGCTGTGGACTCATGCGTCATTGATAAAGGGTAAATCCACGGCATCTTCATTCACACTTTCCGCTTTGATACTGTATTTTGGATCTGTTTGGAAAAGTAGTGCTTGGTTTACCTATGTGTCGAAAGTGTACTGCGAACTCGCGACAATGTAGAACCAGAGTTCATCATCACTATAGCTTATTACCACCTTGGATTACCAACCAATCTACTTAGGTACGTTAAACTAGGGTTATCCAATGTATAAATGAATGTTAATGGTTTATCAATATCTGGCAATTTGAATAAACAATTAGGCTCCATTTTCCTTGTGGGATTGATGATACCTTCATGACCGGTGTTTATGGTGTTTGTAATAATCCTTCAAACTTCAATCAGGTAGTTTCATTTACGATTTTCAAATATATACAGTAGGGAAACCTTGAGCTTTACAGTCAAACGTCTAACAGTTATGTTTCTGTCCAGTCAGTCACCATCATACTTGACTCACCGGCTTATTCTGAAGTTTGAGTTAACTGTTAGTTATGATAGGTGTGTAGTTAGGGGACGTCGTCTTAACGGCATGATGGCAAATGTACTTTGTGTGCTGATTAAGGTTCTTACCTAAAGAGTCAAGCTATTCATCATCATTGATATTCCGACTTTTGGATATTAGACATTAACGTAGTGTCTGATTTCCCTTTGGACACTATGTATTTGGTTTACTAAGGCGTCGTCAAAAATGTGATTTCTTTGTGAATAGGAGCATAGATAAAACTTTTATTGCTACCATTAATAAATCCGTCCTTCAATAGTGTACCTAGTGGCGCCGGAGTATTATCTCAGTTTCCTTCCCCTATCAACTGGAGGTATTGGAAACTGAAAACATGTCGTCAGCAAGAAGATATGGAGAATAGACTTGCAAAACTATGGGTTTCTTCTATAATTCACCAACATTTCAAATGACTAGTGTGACATTTTTCATGGATGACAATCAGTAAACGTCCCTAAAATATATTCTAGCCTAAGTTATGAGACCAGAATTACCTGCTAGTTATGCTTTACTTGGAAGTTAATTTGTGTATTCTCATCACACACTTCTTGAGGGCTAATGATTCTACCCGGTCGCTCAGTACGATGTTTATTGAGCAGCGTTCAATCTCAGGACTTAGTGTTCGGATGTTGAACCCTTTATCTATAAAGCTGATACTGATTAACGAACATTTATACTATACTCTTCGTCCTTTATGACTGTTTGATTAAGGAAATGTATAACTGCTCTTAATATCCAAGCTAATAGAAACCCTATATGTTAATAGTATATTTTGCGAAATCGTACTAGTGATGTTTTTTGTTTGTAAAATAAATCTACCCACAAAAAAATGTTCACTCTATTTCTATATTATTGTTTGTTGTTTTATATTTTATTCTACAATTCAGTATCTGATGTTCTTGGGTACATTAGTTAATTGTGTACTAAGATTGTACTATCATCACTTGTTCTGAATCACTCAACTGTACCAATACTGGTCGAAGACCTTGGAAACGCCTTGCTGTTAGAATAATATACCAAAATATATGGCTAATTTGCGAGCTTTCATTGTCGGTAGTACTGGCGAAACAGGAAAAGCATTAATCAAAGCCTTAGCCAAAGATACTAGATACAGTTCTATCAAATTAATTCAAAGGCGTAAAACAGATGTTGATTATGGTTTTGAAAACAAAGATTCTGAAAATCGTTTCACTCAGATTATTATAGATTTCGACCATTTAGATGACTATCAAGAAGTATTTCAAGATACTGATGTGGGTTTTTGTGCCTTTGGGACAACCTTAAAAAAATCAGGAAAGGAAAAAATGAGGATAATAGACCATGACTATGTAATTCATATTGCAAAGTTAAGTTCTGCAGCTGGATGTAAAGAATTTCATCTTGTCAGTTCAAAAGTAAGTCATGAATTTCGAGACATTTATGCAAAATTTCGGTTTTTATAGTTTTGATTGTTTCTTATGGTTCTCAAGATTTAGTATGTTTGTATGTACTTAAAAATTTCTTCCACTTTGATTTGGGCATTTTTTTTCAAGTATTTTTAAATTGTATCAACTCTTCAATACTTTAATTGTTCTACCGAACATAAATCTTACCAAAATCATTTTTATGTAGTCCCGCTTTTCCGTATATTACTGATATGTTTTTGCTTTCAACTATTCATTTAACGATGAAGAGAGAATTTCTAAATGTAGGTGGTCGTTTTAACAAGAAGCTAGTTTGAACGTGATATAAGTCTCAGAGTAGTCCAATGATGACACAATCGAATATCATTAATTATTATCATCTAATTCACCCAGATAACTAAATGAGTTTTTGTCAATGGGTGCAGTAATCGGAATTGTCACGGTAGTATGATGCTAAAAACAATATTCATTAGTCCCGACCATTTTTGATAGCTTGACGTGGTGGTCGGGCTTGTCTATCGTGATGAAGCAACCGAGCTATACTGGCTGGAACAACCGTTCCTCAAGGTCCTACCATGTCAGACAGGTCGGTTGAAGAACGGTAAGACTAAAAGCAACAAACCCAAGGTCCGAAGGCTAAGTCGTACTGCTGACTGTACAGATGTGTGACAGCAGTAAGGTGTTTCCTTCAGACAACCAGCATGACAGCGATGCTGCCTTCCCACAAGGAGGGGTGGGGTTAGAAAAGGTCGACCCTAAAAGTGCACACCTCACCTTATCCCACGGATATCCGTCTCCAGCGGTATGGTCTCAACAGGTACGGAGCTAACACAAAAATTACTCATAAAAAGGTCGTGTGTGACCGACCTCAAGCAGTTGTCCCTTGGGCACTACGGTCACGCTCTCAGGTCACTAAGACCACCTCTAATCCAATTTCCTTTTCAGGTACCTCCAGAAGGACCCTTCCACGGTGTGGGCAACCGGGAAGTGATAACCGCCCTCATACCTCTAACAGCACTCAAGACCACTGTATATTCATTAGTTGTATGTTGTTCAATAGGTCCTTAATAATTTAGTCAACTATAACTTGCCCTGTAATATGAAATCTTGTGTACATTATGTTTAATGTTTGGAGCTACATGGTATACAGCTTTTGATTATGAAAAAATGTAATGTTCTAATAAGTAGAAAATTAAATTCTTGATGTTTCAAGTCTTAGTGCAAGTTATTTCTTCAGTGAATAAATTGAATAGCCGAATTAAATTAACACAACTTCAAATGGTACAAAGGGGAAAAATAGAATACACGGTACAATCAAAATAAGTCTGTCCATGTCAACGTCATGTTTCGATCAAAGTAAATTATGTTTACGATATAATTGTGTGTATTTGTGTATACCCTAGTGAGTGTGAAAAAAAGCGATATTTTCATTGTGAAAAAGTAAATTTGAAGCTGTATATGTATGAGGAACAAATATAACTAATTTTGGATAATTAGTCCAATGTGAATTGGTAGTTTTCCCTTACTTTATTATTGAACACTGACATTTAACAGTATATAAAAGCGCCTCAAGCACGTCTTTCTCTATGGTCGATAAAGCTTTTCTTAATTATTCTGATATTTTAAATAGTGATTTTAATGATTGTCGAAAGTAGCTAGTACTACTATAGCTTATTATAACTTGGATATTTTTCAGTTGTACATAATTATTAGGATAGGTTATGACTGCCTACAAACGAATTGGGACAGTAGTTAAGCTGTTCAACTTTCGATCATAAAGTCCCAACTCTGAATTCCACTCCATCTACTTCAGTCTAAGCAACCAGATAGTATCACCAGACTTCACAAACGAAGTACATGGAAAATAACTTTCAAATTCATCACTCGTTAGTTGACAGTCAAATATATTGTTCATTCTTAATTTCATTATAATCTCAAAAAATGTTTTCTTCATTTTTTGTTTAGGAATGACTTTATCTAAGTTTGTCTTGACTTTCTATTAATGTTGTGTAATATTTTTTTCTGTTTTTTTTTGTCCAGGCAGCAAATAAAACAAGTATCTTTTTTTATCTTCAACTTAAAGGTGAAACAGAATCAGATTTAATATCCCTTAATTTATTTCCTAAATGTCTTGCAATTTATCGTCCAGCTACTTTATTATGTTCACGTGTTGAATCACGACTAGCGGAAAGAGCTTTTCAAATTTTATTGAAACCTTTCGCATATTTTGCACCGACATTATTAACAACACCAATTGATATCCTTGCAAAGGCTATGGCTAATGCTCCATTTAGTTCAAAATTAAAAACTGATTTATCTGCACAGCAAGAAAAATCATTACCTAAAAATGTGTATATTTTTGAAAATTCTGATATTTTCTTACTTGCATCAGACAACTAACATATATAATTATTCCATTGAATTATGCCTTAACTTTGAAGTAAGTTCTTATTCCATTTTGCCGGTATTTTACATCATGCCACTAAGACTTTATTCAATTCATGTATCCGTGGATTTACTTCACCCATCTTAATATCTTTCATAGTTCTCATATATTGATTATAACTTATATTCTAATTTATAAACTACTTTGCACATGGTCGCTACGATACAGTTATTTTCGCATTTTTACTTTTTTTCGTACACAAATGTTCTTCGTTCATTATATTTGTTAAATTGGTTTGTTTTTCATTATCATAGTTTTATTGATTGAAACATTTCTTGTTGTGGATCAACAATCGTTTGTCAGTCTTTCTGCCATTCTTGTTTTCTTATCTTTTGTTACACATTATTTGCACGATTTATAATCAAACTTGTACATTTAGTCGCTTTTTTAGGCAAAACTGTGCTACGGCTTGTTGGTTATTATTTACGTAATGATAAATTTCAACTTTAAATGTTTAGTATAGTTATTATTCTGTTTGAAATACTAATTGAAGTATTAGTTTCGTATGCACTTTATGAGAACTGATTAAGAAGTATATCGAACAATATATGGGTGTTATTTGAATTCAAGTATATGGGTTGAGTTTACACCAACTAGATTGTTGGGGCCCACCGTATCAAATCCAATTAATTAAAGAAAGCTTCTTGGAATACGCTTTTGTGTGGTATACCGAACAAAAGTAGACAGGCCAGTATTATATCCGCGTCGCTTACTATTTATACTTAAAAACAAGGAAACTACAGTTCCCACGATACGAAGTAAGAACACAAAAGAAACTGGTACAAGTGAAGATTTATTGACTCTAAATGATTACGACGACCCTAGTCGGAAATGCACTCATTTATTTGTTGATTGGTACATGTATTTGATTATTTATTAGGAAAATGTCATATATATGTATATATGAAAAGTTACCAAGTTATTACAAAGTCGTATGCTGCCTATCACACTGAAGATATTTCGCGTTAATTCAATACCAAGAATATCATATCTTAAATAAACATCACACTGGAAATCAAACAAAATATTACACTGGGTAATCAGCATATTGAATTAAAAATGAAATTCATGTTGACCGACAATCACAATGAACCAAAATGTAATTTTGCCTTTTTATCCCATTATGTCAGTCAAACATATTCTAAAGGCAGTACAATGCTCGAGTGTAGGTTGATTTTATGTAAGTGAATCATTCATTCGTGAACAGTAAACATAATTATTCGGAGTTTAACAATAAAGCGTTCTATATTCTGTTAGTTTTCTTCCTTTGTAAAGAGGTTAATCAAACGTTTGGAATATGAATCGAACCGTGGAATACAACGCTTTTATTGTATGCCTCTCTTACAGTGTTTCCACTGTAGCATGTTCCTCATAGCGTTTTTATGTTTATTTTTTACGACTTGGATTCTTTCAAGTTTACCACCTTCTCTATATCAACAAAGACACTATGTTTTGAGATCTGGGTCATGGTTTTTCACAGCATTTTACTACTGCTTACGGTTTCACTGATATACAGAACAATTGACACAGTTTGGATCGATCACAAGAGCTGAAAAGGATTTGAATCAGTTGTTATTTCTCTGTGCATAAGATATTTGAACTTAATTTATGAATTAACTATTGTGGAATTTCAACTGACCGGGATTGCATGTCTTCAAAACAGCGTCGGTTTACTACATTATCTGTTCAGTAAATATAGATAAAATAATTGTTTTGTCCACTCCATGTCTAGTTATATTTATATGTTTGCGTGTATTTGTTAAAGTTATGACCATAAAAGGGCAAATAGAGATGTTTCTTTTAAAGTATCTCAATGTAGCTACAATCCTGTATAAACAACTAGTTTTGTTTATTCCGGTAAGAATAAATGTCAGTAGTGATTGGCTATTCATTCGTTTTTCATTGTAGTTTTAAACGTTGTGCTTATCTGAATATTTGTCTTTCGACTACAATCAACTTCACTAATACACATGTCTTATTCTGAGGTTTTTACACTAATTCTATTAATTAACCCAACTTTGGACTCAATCCTTCTGCGAAAAATATAATACAATGACGACTTGTGAACTAAAAAGTAGTTATTTCCTGAGTAACTTATATGCTCCCTGCGCTTGATCCTCTCATTTATGTAAACAGGGCACAAATGACAGTTTTTGTTGAGCGCTGTGCAGGCACTACACATCGTACTGCAGTTAAATATTATTACGAAAGCATGTCATAAGGCTTTACCATATGACGGTACCACCTCATTGACTGAACAAGACATTCTTAGTATAGGGTCGTGGAGGTCTTTGAGTATCATTGAAATCATAAACTAATCAATGCTAGACCACCATTGAGAGCCTAGAAGCACTAGACGGCCGTTTCATCATAGTATGGGGCCCGTCAGCAGTGAGTATCCACGACCTCTATTGAGAACCCGGACCCAGCGCGAACAGTTAACTTCCTGACCACCGAGCATGCGTCCAACGAAAATAATGGAAGATGGTCTCGCAGTATCATGGATTACTTGAAATTAAACATTAACAGAAAGCTCGGCTGACTTTCGTCAACTCGCATAACTTGTGGGATAGGACAAGTTTACTCCGCAGCGTTACGTACAATCAGTATTAAACATATTATTAATATTTTCCCTCCCTCTAAGTAAAGTAGTTTAATAGATGTTTGTTTACTACGGTAATTAACTTAACTAATCGTTTGCCTGATACAGAATATTGCAGTCCATATTATTAATAATCAGTAATACATCTCTATTAATTTACCTAAATAACACTTTCATTTCTATCATAATGTTGACAGTAATATAAGTACCTAGTTACGGGACAACTTAGAATTTCTATCGTTAAAAAATGTTTGCTGTTAATTTGCCAATTAATCTTTTATATTTTAAATGTAAATCATAGGTAAAACTTATCAGCATTCACAATATCCCGAACATGAAGTTTTAAGTGTCATGTAGACATTCTGCCCCTGTTAAATGTAAAGAAAATGTTGCATTATTAGTAAATGCATGGCAAATTATCGAACTCATTTTAGGATACATTTTTGTGTAATTACCATGTATTTACTGGTAATTTTCACATTCATTGTAGTTTCTCCCAATTTGTTGTTCGGTAAGGTAAATGAAAAGAATACGTCACAAATGAATCGTTTTATATATATTATCACTAACAATTCAATTAAAAAGTACAATGTCTAATCATAAAATGAATATTGAGAAATCTTCCATAATAATGTAAGTCAGTCATAAAACCTTTTGTTAAAAGATTCGAGTGCCTTCAAACAATAAGGTACTTTGGAATATAAGTATGAAACAATTAGTACGCATGCTACAGATATCAAATTGGAAAACTGGATTCAATAAGTTTTAATGATGGTTTTATTAAGTATAAAGCATAAAATGAAAAGAATCATGTAGCTTATTCTTATAGGTAACAAATTGTTATTATACTGATGTGGTTCACTTTTGGAAACAGTTGATTTAAATAACCGATTCTTCATAATTTTTATTATAAAGCAGGTTAAAGAAGAACATATACTGCTAACATAGAACTTGATCGATACTAAACAATCAATGCAAAGGATAAAACAAACATTTTGGTTCACTTCACAATAAGCAATTAGTGTTAACGTCTCTAAATTTAACACTGGGTAACCCAAATCCAAATGCAATAAAGAGCATCGGTACCCCCAAGATCGTAGATATGTTCTGTTTGAAAAGAGTCACGTGGGACCTGGTTGAGCAGAACATCCTGATGATTTCCCCAATCACTTGACATGTGACTTTGGAGCTGAATCAAAGAGAAAGTAAACCAACAGGTCCATCTTGAAACATACGATGAGAAACGTATTCATTCATAGAGAAATAATGCTCCTCACCAATGACAACTGTTAATAAAAGTTATATAACCTCTCAAAATGGTTTTATTCAAGTTATTTTAAAATGAAGGATTATAAAGTCTAGTTATAGTTATAGTAGTCTATCCGCCCACTTGTTTAATAAAAAAATTCATTTGCTTTTAAGAAATTTTATCTCATTTTGGTGTAAACTATAGAAATTCAATGTGGGAAGTTTTTCATCCCTAATGCAGCTGTTTTGTATGTGACTAGGACAACAGTTATTTAAAACTCTGTCAGCTTGAATTTTGATCGCAAATCTCCCACTTACAGTCTACATAATCCGGTTTCGAAAAAAAATCCATGAAATCATTCGACACACTATGTATATGTGTCAGTTTGACTGGACGCATGTCTTCATCCTAACACAATGATTTTACTCACGTATTGATTAGCGCCCGTAAAATACGCATACATTCTTCGCTTTCCGGTATGCTTATCCATCGTATGCATGTGGGTTTAATTAATTATGAAGAATACACTCTCCCGACATAACTGGTATTCTGGTTTTGAATATCCTTAAGTGAATTCATAGCAATACAAAAAAAACTAGTCTGTTAAGAAAAACAGTTAACAATTCATTACGTTTAGAAGTAAAAGTGAGGGAATAACCTCTACAGGACATCCTGGGTTCAGTAATTACCAGCGTCCTGTTAATGCAAGCAGACAAGAGTTCGGTTGCTGTTACAATGAACTGAAGAATTGGTCACTTAAAACCACTTTCTAATGGTTTAACTGAGGTAATAATTTTACAACAAACAAAATGACTACAGTAATGTTATAGTAAGCCAAGTGGATCATCCAGATCCATATACTAAGACTTCAATCAACAGGGATTTTGTTAGCTGTATATGGTTGGTTAACTCTAAATAGAGAAAGTCTAATTTTCAAAAATTCGACATTCAATCGCAAAAACATAAGAATCAGTCTATGAGAAGCTCGGAGTACACCGTCTGAAATATAGTTTTTAGAAATCTTTAATATTTCTTAAAAATATATATCATTTATCTACCATTAATGATCTCTTCGAAAGAGATTATAGACCTGGGTATGAGCA